TTATTTTAACTCACGTTATAAAATTCGGATTTTGCTCGAATACGGAATGTGTATACGCGAAAACGCACTGCGCTGAACACTTCGTTGTACTCGTCCAGCTATAAAATGTATCTTTTAAAAAGTAATGCAGTTTCCGTCAAAAAAGACAAATCCTTTCCAGCTTTTAGCTTTTTTTTTTTCTATTTCTTCGGGAACTTTTAATCAAGTTCAACAAAACATTTACATGCGGAAATTACTGTAAAAGAGACTGATATATTATACATACGGAAGATTTCACAGCAATTTTACAGAACTTAAAGAAAAAGAGATCCTCAAGAAGCTCGACAAAATGAGAATAGTATTGGAATAACAAGAATACAACAACAAACCATGTCATTATCCAGCAATTGTCCAAGTGATTCAGCGTCTTTTTTAAGCAATTTAACGGCTTTATCTTCGAAAAGTGTTACCCACTGTGAACCCGAGAAATCCGATATTTCCATCTGCAAAATGTTTTCTGTTTCTTCACTAAACCAAAAAATGAGCGGAATTGCCACATAAATCTGCTCACAAACTTGGAACAGCTGCAATTTATAGTCTGATTCTCCAACTTTGTAGCCGAAGGCTTTCCCAGTAACTTGACCAATGCTACACCACTTGGTCGTCAGTCTATTAGCAAATCTGTCGTTCGTCTCCCTTCCTCACGGTTGGGCCAACAACGCCAAACAAACTGCATATGTTAGCACATACAAAACTTCAGGCCCCCATTCTCTTCCAGTCTCCTAGGCAAGGATACTCATTTAGGGTTAAAGAGAAAATTTTTGTTTGTATCTTTAGAATTTCTGAAGCACTTCTTACCAAACTCTGCGTGACATCAAAAACACCTAGGCCGCCTAAGCTATCCGTTCTGGTGTCCGTGTTAGTGGCATTTCATACGCTATGCCAGGCCCTTCCATCTTAGGCTATTTACTTCCACTTGGTCTCGTCTGTCCGATGCATGCGCGCCACCTTTTCTAGGATCGCTTGCTTTTTTGTGGGAACTGTTCGCTAATGCGCGTTGTCCAACGGTTATCGTCAAGGCGAGTAGTAATATGCCCTGACCATCGAATTTTACTTTCTCGGGTGGTCGCAGTGGCAAGTTGCACGCCGCTCATCTGACAGGGAGTCTAACTGTTTATACGGTCATAAAGAGACAAAATTTTGTGAAAGAGTCACATAACCATTGCTGCAGCGTGTAAAAATGCAAAAAACTGAAAAAAAAAACCCCACAGAATTAAACCAGCAGAGATTGGATGCTATTCAAGATGCCTATGGTTCCGTTAAAAATAAAGCACAAACCGACAACAGCAGCACATATTTGTACTTATCCAAAGTCACATCGCATTTTTCGCATCGATACTGATCATCCATTTCCACCACTTTCTTCTTACATCCATTCGTTCCACAGCTCTAAATCATGGAAAAAGGATGGCATTTTACTTTTCCAGAAGGCACAAAATATTCAAAAAATACGAACAAAGATGGAATATTTTGACATTTTCATTAAAAAAAGCATGAAAAAAAAACTCTTCTCCCTTAAAGATGAGAACAATGCATACGGAAGCATTTGGCCGAAACGGGAACAAATATAAACTAGCCATTATGAGGAAGATGTATAGACAGTGGTCTCAAGGTGGCTGTTTCGCTGCAGACGGCTTTTGTGAAGCGTAAACTGATACTTAACAATACAATACAAGCTTCGCCAAAGTAATCACTTCAGACAGTACAGCACACTTGCTTCGTGTACTTTAGAGAGGCAATTTTATTTTCCGTTATTTAAAAAAGTACGGAGAATACTATGAGAAGATATGCAGCCTAGGACTGGAGGATCTGGTATAGTTGCAGCCAGCGTTTGGGAACATCCAAGCAAAATCAGTAACATGGGATATTTGCACTGATTATCGGAATCGCCATGATTTTCTGAGTATTATAAGCGAGCGGTCCCCTAATGCGGAAGAGATCACTTAAACAGTCTTTAAAAATTACGTTTCTCTGTACATATCTCAAGATCGAAAGCCCCAGAACTACGCACCACGTGTCATCTCAGGGACACAGCAGCACCATAATGATGGCCCGGATAACCTTTAGTAATGCTGATTCCGTACACACACCCACATACACCCACATACAAACACACACATACACACACAAACACACAGACACACACATGCACACAAAAGCAAATTATTGCCTTATAAAGAGCGCCATCGGCTTTCATCGACGAAATCATTGCTGTAACGTTGAAATATGCTCCCTTCTCAGCATTGTGTCCAAGGCGACTCAGCTGCGACAGGCCAATGACACGAAGATCTCGAGCTGCAAAAAGTAGGAAAAATAACAGTGTCACCACATTACAGCTTAAAAACAATATGGACAAAATCGCGATAGAAATGAACAAGTACCGTAGTTGTCGCCACCACCTCCAAATGTTGTCAAGTTACGTGGCTGAACAGACGGCCTCGTTTCTCGGTACCACCGGTACAGTTTTGTTGTTTCTGGACAATCCATGTTTATTTCGATACGTGATGAACTTCCCGTACTTAAGCTCAGGCTTCCTGAAATAAGAAAGTACATTAAGAGGAAGGTATATTAAAAACGGATGAAAAGCGATGAACAGAGAAAGGGAAGGTAAGAGATGAGAATTACAAAATTTGTAAATTAATGAAATTATTTTAACGGCAAGAAATGTTTCGATCTCCATAAAACACAGATCTCGACATCGGTATGAAAAACTGTAAGGAATATTTACGAAGCAAAGTACTTGCCATTGTATTCCCTTACAAATGCTCCCTTTATACCAATCGTTTGCCCCTCTATCTCTTTGTCGTAGAGCCGAGTCTGGTCGCCCCAAAGTGTTAACATAATTTCCGTCTCCGAAGTATCAATCAACTGGATATCTCTTTTGTTAAGTTGTGCTCCGCTGCTGCGAGCTGTTACCTAAACAGAATAAAAATAACAGAATCCTACAAGATGGCAGTAAGATTTCTTGAGCCCTTTTGGCGATGTAAGAAGAGATGCACTGCAGGAAATAAAAGTCAAAATTGATTTGCCGGGATAAAACTGCTTTTTTAATTACTCTATGTGCGTCCCATTATTTGATAAAAAGTATCAGAAACTGTCGGCAGCTTGCTTCTGAGTAATCCCTTGGAGAAGATCCTGTTGAATGACTCGCAAGCGGCTAGCTAGCGAGGCAATCGATAGGGCTTTCTTCCGCGAATTACTTAAGACTTTTAAATGTTTGCACACTTCCCGGCAATTAATAAAACCCGGTCCGGCTAATGTCACATCCGAGTCATGGGAAATTTTATTGGTGATGGCGGGTAACTCTACCCCACAGAGGGTGGCGAACGCTCGAAGTAGTAGGTGAGAAGGGGAGGTGGTGGCGTTCGAGATAGGATAAGAGAGCTGAGGGTTTAGTGGCTACGTGGCACGGATCTTTTGCCAATTCGCTAGGTCAAGCACATATGAAGGGCCGGAGGAGGGGGTGATGGGGGAAAGGAGGAAGCATGCTGCTGGTTTTTGCCACGGTAGGGAAAAGGCTAAACTGCTTGCTTCCAAACTGCACCTATAGTAGGGGTGAAGACGAGCCCAAATGCTGCTATGGAGACAGGAATTGAGGAAATGAGGAAAACAAGAGTATTAGTTTTTACAGGACAGTTTTCATCCCATTTTTTTTCGAACCAAAAACTAGAGTGGAAACTGTCCTATAAAAACCCATCGTCAGTACGGGACTTCCCAACTGATATTTAGCTGAAGCTGAGAGCGAATAAATTCGATTGTAGGATACAAACTAAGCAAAAACAGTAGACTGGATGCAGGATGGAATCAGCCTCAAAGCAGAAAAACAGAGTTGTAAGTATTGCATACACTCGCAGATCGTCGAAGGAAGTGCTGTATGGAATTTCTGTGAAGATCTGATGGAACTTATTCGCTCTTAGCTTTATCTAAGCAAAAGTTTAATAAAAAGGGAAGTCGAAGGATTTTTGTAGGACAATTTCCACTCGCCCAGGCTCAGTTTTTTTCCTTTTTTTTTTAATTCATAGGTTCAAACTTTTTTGCTTTTGCTTTTCTTGCTTTTATTCATAGGCTCAGGTTTGCTTTAATTTATTGTTTTTTGTAGTGTTGCGTTGTTTCTTTCTCTTTACCATTGCCTGAAGTTGTTACCCCGAACTCCTGACTATTACTGCTGTTTCCCTTGTCTATCCTGTCCCCCATTTCTGCCTCCAAAACTGTGTCTGGGCTCGTCCCCGACCCCTTATATATGCACTCCCCAACCAACCAGAATTTCAGCCTTTCCCTAATCTCGGGTCACCATCTCCCTCTTCTACCCACCAACCCCTTCCAAGTTAAACAGTCACCGACCGCTGGGTAGCGCTCGGGGAACGCTACCCCGCACTCGATGGCATCATAAGCAGTGCCGGCAAGCGATATCAAGATAGCGTTGCTGTTTCACTAGCAGAGAAACAAGTGTAGCGGAGCCCAGCCGATCCGAGTTCTAGTAATTACCCACTTCCTTCCTCTCTCGATGCTTTGACCAGCTGTTATTTCATGTCTTACTTTTTTAGCACTTGCTTTTTGTGCTTTGGCTGCTTCAGAAATTCTGCCACGCTTGTAGGCGTTCTGCTTTCAGCACGATGGCATCAGCAAAAATGAGTATTAGGTGTATTTCGTTGTCAAAACGAAGACTTTCTATAGCTTCAACTTTTCAAAAAACATCGCTAGTGAGAAGGCTTTTCGGGGAAAAAAATTGATGCATTATTTTATGCCTCGGCCAATTCTTACTTTTACAAATTCGTCAAGAAAAAATCAGCTCTGTGTGTGTGTGTGTCTCTAATAACTCGAACGTACATTGAATCCACCCCTCAAATTGAAGAAAATGGATGATGGGAAAGCAGAGGATTGCAAGCTTTCAGAATTTTTTCGTGATATAAAAGAAACCTGCATGATGTCATTAACTTTTTCGGCAACTGCAATGATGTCCACTGGCTCGCCAATGTGATTAGCCAAATTGGAAAGGCGAACAATGGCAAGTGAAAGCTTCGGCTGCTCAATCTTTTCTCGATCCAGGCATGGTGATACCTGGCAAAAATGCTATGAATTAGAAGCATGTCCTGTAACATGTTATCCTTAACATGAAGTTTTAAACGATGAGCAAATATGCACAATATAAATTTAAAAACCTCCGAATCATTTCGTATTGTAATTTCATAATCGTGACCGGTGGTGTTGAAACGTTTATTCGCTTGCTTCACCGATCCACCTGATACATAGTACATCTGCAAAGGAAATAAATAGCAACATGCACCAGACAAGCCGTTGCGATCATGCGTTTTGTGCAATTCAGCCCATCGGACGATTGCCTATTAATGATTTTCACTGCTTTGCACTTTAGCCTACGCAGATACAGTTCAAACATTGGAAAAACAGTTAAAATTTCACGCACCAACGCATGAAAGCTGAATTCGGAACCTTGAAGGATGGATATCTTTCCGTGATTCCCGAGTTATTAGTTTACCCGCCAAAATTTTCACGAGCGCGAGAACGCTGAATCTGAATGGGCAAGGTTGAGCGCGGGCAGAGGGTCATCAACCTAAAATTTCAGCTCCTAGACTCCTTGGTTCCCGAGATATTAATTTACTCGTAAAAAACTTTCACGGGGCCAAACGTGTTACCCGCGGATACGGGAAGCTGAATTTAAATTTGCGGGGTCACACGTGAGTGGGGAACGTTACCCTGAATTTTCAGCTTCTTAGCTTTTGTGTTTCTCGAACTGAAAGTTGCGGACACACACACACACACACACACACAAACAAACAGACAACCCCGTGACAATATGCGTTTTGTACTGCTGTTACACAGCACAAAACGCATAAAA